ACCCGCGCGGCCGTTCTCGGTGACTGTGTTAGCGTTTCAGGGTGGGAAAGGGGGCCGGGGAAGGCGTCCTTTCCCCCCTCCAGGTGCAAATCCCGATGGGCATTGGGGCACGGAGGCTGAGCAGCCCGGGGGAAGGTGGGACCGGGGCTTTTCCCGCAGCTCCGGGCATGCTGCCCCTGTGGCTTTCCGTGCCCTGGGCTCATGCTGTGGTTGCAGCTGGGTTATTTTTTCCCCCTTTTTGCCCGTCCGTACGAATCATGGGTTGCTCCCACCGATACCGACGTTCGTTTGGACTCCCTTGCAAGCGCCTGGCTGACTCCCAAACTCCTGGCGGGCCTCCAGCGGCGTGCGCAGAGAGCAGAGCTCCCAGGCGAGGCGAGGAGCCGCGCTGCCCTCCGGGCTCCCGCGGGACCCGGCCTCGTGACGGGGCAACGGCCGGCGCTAACAATAGAGCGTCAGGAAATGCTGTGTTCGGACGATGTTTCCTTTGCGGCCAAGGAGCGCCCCGTGCTCTCGAGCTGTTTTGCAGTAAAGGCTCTTACGAGAAACATCCAGGGGACGCGACGCTGCATTTCCTAAGTGCTCTGGGTCTGTCTTTTGGTTTCCACATGAGTTGCAGGTTTTTTCCAGCCTTGGAGGCCCATTTTGAGTGTGCAGCTTTGCTGTACTTGCTGCAAGCACTGCCTGAAAATGAGCCTAGTTTTCAAAATCCAACTTGTTTTCCTTTGGTCTCATGACCGAGCGAGAAAGGATGTTTGCAAATCAGACAGGTTTGGAGGGTGGCAGGGGGAGGAACAGGAGAAAAACAGCTTAGTTAGACTTAGTTAGAGTTAGGGAGAGTTTGGGTTTGTCGCCGTTGACTCTGGCGTACGGTGGCCTCTGCCTCTCGGAGTCCGCGGCGGGTGCGCGCCGCGGGTGCCCCGCTGCCGTCCCGGCACTGGCGGCACAGCTCAGCGTCTGTCCTTTCTGTCCAAAGGCCCAGCGAGCCAAATTCCTGCGCAATGTCGAGAACGAGCTGGAGGAGCT